TGTAGTTGCCCAGGAAATAAAATTGGAAAAACATTAAATAACTAAAGGCCAACAAAGGCCAACCTTAGCTTCTGCTAATAATATGTAAAAAAATTGTGGAAATTTATTTCTTGATTTCAGCATCCATGGATGCTGAAATAAGACATGTGATAATCGATATTTGGATAAAGTTACGTGAGCAAGACAATTATGCGAACAAAGATCTATTACTATCCCACTTAACAATAGATCCAGGTTTGGATATTTTAGTTAGCACTATATTTCTTAGTGAACTTAAGTTTATATGGATCAATGGGAACTTGATTGAATGCAAAAGTTGTAAGTAGCACAAAACTTATTCTCTCTAGGGACTTCACAGTCTTTATTTATATTAAAAGAGTACAGTTACAAGTAAATAGCTTATATACTATATGTCTAATTTCTATAACAAATTTCATAAATGCAACAATGTCATAAATGCAATAAATGCGATAAATTACACTTTCTTTCATGCTTGTTAGTTGAACTGTAACACAAGACTGGGTTAAATTCGGGTTCACATATAAATTGTTAAAGATTAAAATAAAAACATACAGTTTATTAACATAAGCTTATACAGTACAACTGTAATAAAATTAGAGTACAATTGCAATACAACTGTTGTTACAATTACAATACAAGTATTGATATAATTACAACATAATTATAATACAAATAAGACTATAATATTGCTTATTTCTGTACAATTCTTATACATAATTGCTAACCAAATTTAATGTTATAGAATCATATACAATTATTTTGCATAATTATTAGTCAAATTTATGGAATTGTATATTTTTATACAATTATTATTACCTTAAAGATTTTTTTGTTTTTCTGCTTCAATACAAATATTGTACTGTATTGAATCTATTTTGAATATAAGTTGTATAAAACTTAACAAAAATATTATATATTCTGTATGATTTTTTTTTATAGAGCCGGCCTCCACTAAATAGTATATTCGTTGTGGGGAATATCCTTGCCCATTTATTATATTTGATTACACTACTGTATGTATAGGGGGATGAGTGGGGGAGTAGTAGTGTAATAGTGTAAACTACCCCAAGCACCGCCAGATTTCACTAATCGACACGAATTGACAAGATCAGGTGTAACGCGAAAATCATGCGTTTTTTATAAAACCACCTGTAACTCAAAATTTCATATATGTAACCTTCTTCTGCGCACTAGTAAAAAAAATTCCTTCAAAACTTTAGTATAAGACAAGCAAGCCTCTTTAGACTTTAAAAATTGCGCATATTCGTTGTTTTGATTGTCGATCACTGTCGGTGCCACTGGGGTAGTGTAATAGTATTAGTATCCGGTAAGAGTCTATTTTGATGTAATTTTTAATATTATTTCTATTATTTCTTAATTTCTGGTTTAATATAGAAATACTCATTAATGTTCCAAAGATAAAATAAATCATGTGAATAATGTAAAAATATGTAAAACTGGCTTATCTTTTCTAATATATAATCATACTTGAGTTATATCGCCACTGGGTTATATCACAACCTGAGTTATATCCCCATATTTAAGCAAGATAAATCTCCCCTTTTTATATGTTTATATATATATTATATATTGAATTATATCCCTAACTTAGTTATATCTCCAAAAATGCTCCGGAAAAAGAGGGATATAACCCAGGTATGACTGTATGTGCGTAGAATTTGAAATAAATTTTTATTAGATTACACATATATCATTTGAATACATTATCTCCATCTATGCAGTAATTTTAATTACTGGCTCTGCTGTTTCCTAATTATTAAATAAAGTTTCTTCTTTCTTAACAACAACCAATTCGGTACGTTGAATGGCCGGAATCACTGGGTGAGGTAATCTACTGCTTAATTCAAAGACCACTGTTTGGGAAGTTTTGTGCTTTATGAATAACTATTCTATAAGTAGTACATTTGGTCCTATACTAAGTATCCTTTAACTACCTCATAGCACTCACTAAATAAAAATTTTGCATCTCACAGCTCATTATTAAGTGTAGTAGAAGTAGACTTTCATTCAAGTCTTGTGCACATGACTTTGATATTTGTGCTTCCAGTTTAGATCAATAAATAAATATTTCTATGATAAACCAAAGGTTATGGAATAACATTACAACTTTACTAAAAGTCAGAGAAAACCAGAAGTTCCGCCGAAAGTAAAGCCAATAAAATCAGATATTCAAATATCTCAAGAACTATTGTTCACATAGTGGTAATTTTAAGCTTAAAACATTTATAAGCTTGCTTAATTTACCCAAATATAAGTCTCTACAAAACGCTGTTGTAGTATTCATTACAAATCATCCACGGCTGATCCGCAGTAATTTAAACTCAATACAAATATCACATGAACTAATGCTTAAATAGTGATTATTTTAGGCTTAAAGGGCTTCTATAAACTAACCTAATTTGCCTAAGTATAAAATTTCCACAAAAACACTTGTTGGTATATTTGCTACGGATCAGCCATGGCTGATCCGCAGTAATTCAAACCAAGTAACTCGACTTCGATTATCTCACGAACTATCGCACAAGTAGTGATGCTTTTAGGCATAGGGGAGTTCTAGAAAGCAGCCTAATTCACCTAAGCATAAATTCTTCGCAAAACGCTTGTTTGTGGAATATTTGCTGCGGCTCAGCCACAGCTGAGCCGCGGCTGAACCGGCTGGGCCAGCTAAGCCGGCTTGCTGCACTGGTTATAAGATTCCGCCAGGAGTCTAGACGCTTTTGCAGTAACGTGATGTGGCATATCGTGGCACATTCGGATAAGTTTTTTTTATGTTTCTGGTTAGGGTTCGTGGTTATAGGCCTTGAAAGATCATTTCTATATGTAAAATTACGTTCCCGACATTTCTTGTTAGTGACCAAAGGCCGATTTAAACACTAGTTTTTGAGTATTTTCACTTTTTTCACTTTTTTTCTTCTTGCGCACGTGTTTTGTTTTGACGTCGGGCTGATCCGGGACGATCAAAATTTACGCATCCCGATTGGCCATTTCTCATGCGCCACATCACGTTACTGCAAAAGTGTCTAGACTCCTGGTGGGGTTCTACTCCAATAGCGAAGTGGTGTGAAAAATTAGTAAACCCGGGTTAGACGATCTAAATGGGGCCGATTGCAAGTATATTTATAGTTATATTTTAGAGTTCACCAATGCGATTCTATT